TCACCATCATCATCAGCATCATCATCGCCATCGTCGTTAATATCATGAACACCACCAACATCAACACCAGCAGCATCGTCCGTCATCGTCGTCATCATCGTCATTCTCATCACCATCGTCAGCATCAGCATCATAACCGTTATCATCATCAACATCGTCATCGTCATCAGCATCGTCGTCATCATCACGATCATCATCATCATCATCATCATCATCAGCATCGTCGTCATCATCGCCATCGTTTTCGGCATCTTCATTGTCATTTTTCATCATCATCATCAGCATCATCATCATAATCACCATTATCGTCATCGGCATCATCCGCATCATCAGCAGCATCGTCCATCATCACAATCATCATCAGCATCCTCATCTCCAGCGTCATCGTCACCAACATTAATTTATCATCAACATCATCGTCCTCATCATCTTCGTGTGCATAATGATCATTATCACCATCGCCACCGCCATCGTCATCGTCGTCGTTGTCGTCATCATCAGCATGAGCATCATCATCATCGTCATCGTCATCGTCATGCATATCATCGTCGTCAACATTATCATCGTTATCATCTTCATCATCATCGTCATCGTCGTCGTCACCGTCATCATGCTCATCAGCACCATCATCACCACCTATCATCATCGTCATCATGATCGTGTTCGACATCGTCATCTACATCATCAGCATCCTCATCCGTATCCGCGTTTTCGTCATCGTCATCATCGTCATCAGCAACCTCACTCTCATCATTACCCGCATCATCATCATCATCATCGTCATCATCGTGGGCCTCATCAGCATCATCATTCACATTATCATCGTCATCGTCGCCATCGCCATCGTCATCGTTATCGTCGTCATCATCATCGTCATCGTCATCAGCGTCAACATTATCAGCATTATTGTCATCATCATCATCATCCTGCCGTCTTGGTCATCAACATCAACATTGTCATCAGCACAACCATTAGTATCCTCATCATCATATTATTTTTGCCCCGCCGCCTCCCCCCCCGCGATCATCATCATCAGCATTATTATCATCAGCTTCGCCGTTATCATCATTATTGTCATCATCGTCATCATCGTCATCATCGTCACCATCCTCATCATCGTTGTCATTATCGGCACCATCATCAACATTGTCATTATCATTGTCGTCGTCGTCATCATCATCGTCATCGTCGTCGTCATCATCATCAACATTGCCAGCAACATAATCATCATCATCATCATCATCATCATCATCATCATCATCATCATCATCCTCATTTGTATCATCATCAGCATTCGCATCATCATCAGCATCAGTATCGTCATCATCGTTATCATATTCTTTTTGCTATTGCCCCTCCGGCATCGTCTGCGTACGCCGCCGTGCCCGCTGCCTGTGCCCCCGCTCTCCTCGGTTCCCTTCCTCCCCCCCGTGCCCCCTCGCTCCGCCTCCTCCCCGCAACGGAGCCCTTCCTTCAATGCGCCGACCCTTGCCGGTGCAGCTGGCGCAGAACGCGCGTCTCCCCAGGCATCCGACGATCTGTTTTGTCAACCGACGGCCCCTGAGCTGGCGACCCTTCCCGTGGGGCCGTTTCCGTCCCAGATTCTTTTCTGATGGCCCCGGGATCCGATGACGGGCCCCAGTCGTGGGCGACGCGTTCATTCATCATCGTTGTCGTCCCGCTCCTTTCCCCTGGTCCTCCTGTCACCGAGCGCGTTCCACTACTCGCAGAGTGCCTACTCGCATATGTCCGAACATACACACAAGACAACACACCACACACACAGGCATCACACAGAACACACAGCACACACAACACACGACACACGGCAAACACAACACACAATGCACAACACACAACACACACAGCACACACAACACATAACACACAACACACCACTCACAACACACAACACACAACACACAACACACAACACACACAACACACAATACACAACGCACAACCCAACACACACTACACACAACACAACACACACAACACACAACACAAAAGAAACACAACACACAACATACACAGCACACAACACACAACACACGTATCACACGCATCACACACATCACACACAACACAACACACACAACGCAACACACAGCGCACACCTCACACATCACACATAACACACAACACACCACACACCGCACAACACAACACACGACACACGAGGCACAACACACAGCTCACGACGCACAACACACAGCACACGATACACAACACATAACACACAACACACAACCCACAACACACAACACACACCGTACAATACACAACACACGATACAACAATGCATTAGCGGGTCCCAGCCACACCCCAACACACAACACATAGCGCACACACAACATTCAACACACATCACATACAACACACAACACGCACAACACACAACACACAACGTTTACAACACACCACACAGCACACGACACACAACACACAATACATAGCACACAACACACAACACAACACACAACACGCAACACGCAACATGCAGCACGCAACACGTAACACACAACACACATCACACACAACACAACACACAAAACACAACACACACAACACACCACACAATACACGACACACAACACACAACACACAACACACAGAACACACAACACACAAAACACAACACGCTACGCGCAACACACAACACGCAGAACGCAACACACAACACACAACACACAACACACAACACACAACACACAACACACAGAACACACACCACACAAAACACAACACGCAACACGCAACACACAACACGCAACGCGCTACACACAACACAAAACACACAACACACAACACACAACACACCACACACACAACACGCAACGCACAAAACGCAACATACGACACACAACACACAACACACAACGCAAAACACAACACACAAAACACAACACACAACACGCTGCACACAACACACAACACACGACACACAACACACGACACACAACGCACGACACACAACACACGACACACGACACACAACACACAACATAAGACAAACGACACACCACACACAACTCAGAATACACAACACACAACATACGACACACAATACACGACACACAACGCGTAACACACGACACAGAACACACAACACACAACATACAACACACACACACCACACAACACCCAACACACACCACACGCAAAACAACACGCAACACACAACACACAACGCAGTACACACAACACAGAACACAATCCACAACACACAACACACACCACACAACACAATACACACAACACACGACCCACAGCACACATCACACAAGACACATCACACAACACACAACACACGACACACAACACAACACAACACACAACACACAGAACATAACACACAACACACGACACACGACAAACACAACACACAACACGCAACGCACGACACACGACACACGACACCCGACACACGACACACGACACACGACGCATGACACACAGCACACAACACAACACACAGCACACAACACACGACAGACAAACCACAACACAAAACACAAAACACACATTACACAACACACACAGCACACAACACACAACACACAACACACAACGCACAACACACAACACACAGCACACAACACACAACACACGACACACAACACACGACACACACAACACACAACACACAACACGCAACACACAACACACAATAGACAACACACGACACACTACACACAACATACGATACACAACACACAACACCCATGACACACCACATAACACACAGCACACAGCACACAACATACAACACACACCACACAATACACAACACACTGCACAACATACACATTAAATTAATTAGCGGGTACCGGCCACACCTAACACACAACACACAGCACACCTACAGCACACACGCTACACACAACACACGACACACGACACTCAACACACAACACGCAACACACGACACACACAACACACAACACACACCACACGACACAGCACACAACCCACGACGCACAACACACAACACACAATAGACTACACAACACACAACACACGACACACAACACACAACACGCAACACACTACACACAATACACAACACACACACTACACAACACCCAACACACGACAAACAATACGCAACATACGCACACAGCACAAGACACAACACACAAGACACAACACACAATACACAACACACAACACACGACACACAACTCCACAACGCACGACACAAAACACAAAACACGGCACACAACACACAACACACAGCACATGTCACAAAGCACACAATTCTCATTACATGAATTAGCGGGTCCTGGCTACACCCACCACGCAACGCACAACACACAATTTTGTGTCGGCTTCTAGGCAGTGTGACTGCGCTGGCGATGGAGCACACACATCACACACAACTCGCACAACACGCATTAAATGAATTAGCGGGTCCCCGCTACAACCAACACACAACACATAACACACAACACACAACTCGCAACACACAACACACAACGCACAACACACAGCTCACAACACGCACAACACTCAACATCCAGCACACAACACACAACACACATCACACACAACACACAACACACAACACGCAGCACGCAGCACACAACACACACACACAACACACAACGCACGACACACAACACACAACCGGCAGCACACGGCACGCACAGCACACCACACGCGACGCGCAGCACGCGGCCCACAGCACACGCAGCACACAGCGAGCCAGTGGGCCCCGGCGGCCGAACGCCGGCATGGACAAAATCAGGTCGTCGGAGCGCTGAGATGCCCTCTGCGGTGCACCCCGCCGGGCGCCGTGCCGGCCTGGGTGGCACGGCGCGGCCCTCCCCGCGGGGCGGCCGTGGGCGCCCGGCCCGGCCGTGGGCGCCCCCCCCGTGCTCCGGGGCGTAGCGACGACGGCGAGGACGGCGAGGACGGCGACGACGACGACGACGACGACGACGACGACCACGACCACGACCGCGACCACGACCAAAACCGCGACCACGACCGCGGCGAACACGACGACGACGACGACGAAGTGGCGGGCGGGCCCAGCGAGCGCATCTGTCACGCGCGGCTCCGTCCAGCCCCTCCCGCGCGGCTCCGTCTCGTGCGGAGACTGCGCACGGCAGTCGCCTTGTTTTGCCTCCTGCCGCTGACGCTGCTGGCAATAGGAAGCTGCCATCCTTTCGCTTGCTCCTCCCCTTACTCCTCAGCCTCATCCTCCCGCGCTTCCTCCTCCTGCTCCCCCTCCTGCCCCCCCTCCTCCTCCACCTCCACCTCCCCCCCGCCTCCTCCCTCTCTGCTCTTCCTCCTCCTCCTCCTCCTCCTCTTCCTTATCCTCCTCCTCCTCCTCCTCCTCCTCCTCCTCCTCTCCTACCCTCCTCGGGACGCGTTGGAACGAGCAGACTCCACCATACCATGGACAGTAAGCCTGGCGGGGGAGAAGGTGGGGATCGTCCGAGAGTGACAGATCAAGGGCCGTCTGATCGAGACGATCAGGGCCAACTATCACCAGCCAAGGTATGCGGGGGATCCGATCTCCTTCCCCTCCTCTTCCTTCTCCTTCCCCTCCTCCTCCTTGTCGCTGCCCTGCCCCTCCTCCCACGCCTCCTGGGTGGCCGACAGTACGTGCAAGAGAAGATGCTCTGTCAGGATCTATCGGCGGGCGGATGACCAATGTTAACCAGCGTGGGCCCCAAGTGTACTGTATGTCGTGCAAGCGATGTGGTGCATTCTATGTGGATGTGGCTCAAACTATGTGGTGCGATCTGGATGAAGCAGGCAATGTGGTTCGATCTGTGTGGTACAGAGTGTGTGGTGCCATCTGGGTGGTGCAGGCTTTGTTGTGCAGGCAACGTGGCGCAGTCCATGCGGTCCAGCCCGCACACGGGGTGGCGTTTGTTTTCGACATGTGGCTCTCTCCTTGGCGCCGCGCACTCTCGTCTTAAGCAAACTCCGCAGTTACACGGATGGATGGAGGCCTCTTTGAAATGTGGATCTCGCCTTAGCGCAGCGCACATTCGTTTCACACGTTTGCATCAGTTTCAGCCATGGTGTACGGTGCGTTTTCAAAGTGTGGCTCTCGCCCGTGAGAGTTCATGGTCTTCGTATGGTTCGACAATCCTAATCTTGCAATATCTACCCGGGTGGAGGGCGGCTCCTCGTCAAGCTTGGATTCTCTTACGAGACCTCCGCAGCTTCAGTGGCCAGAACATTGAAATTCTTCATGTTTCGCGTGCCCCCACCAGCAGTCCGTAGCCCCCTGGCTCAAGCCGTCTCGGCTCCAGCCCGCCCCTTGTTCAGGTTCGGCGCTCGGGCTCGGGTGATGGAGACTGCAGCGGCGCGGCGGCGCCGGCAAATGCGCGCGGCTTTCCAGCGCCGCTTGGAAGCTGCTGCCGCGGCCTGCGACTGCCCGCCAGGGCTCCCCAGCGCGGCCAACGCGACGAGCGCTGCTGGCGCGGCAGACGCGACCGCTCCCCGCGGCGCGTCCGCCGCCGCGAGCGCAGCCAACGCCGCTGGCGCCGCTGGCTTGGGCTGCCCCGCCGCGGCCTCCGCCGCCAGCGCCGTCTGGGCGGCTGGTGCGGCCAGGGCGGCAAACACGCGCACCCCCGCCAGCGCCGCGGACGCTGCCGACGCCCTCGGGCGAGACGGCGCGGTCCGTGCTCGCTGGCCCGCGGCCGGCGCCACCTGCGCCACCGGCGCTGCCGACGCTCCCCGCGTCCGCGCCGCCAGTGTTGCGCCCGACGCAGCTGCTGCTGCCGCCGCCATTGCCTGCGCTGCTGCCGCCGCGAGGGCTTCGCAGGCCTCCCTCTGGACGGCCGTCGTGGATCTAGCCCAGACTGCTAGGCGCGCGGCGGACGCCGTTGCGAGCGCGCTCCCTAGGCACAGAGCGGACCCGCTTGGAGACAGTCACATTTCCGAGATTGGCGCTTCGCTCGGCGACCGTTGCAAATTTGAAGGTGGGCGTTTCGCTTGCAGACAATCGCCAATCTGTGGATATCATGGACTTCGTATCTCACCGTGCGGCCGTTAGCTGCAGCAGTCGCCAAGGAGAGCTACAGACAGAACAGGCGGTCGTCAGCCACAGCGGGTCGGTCCTTCCCTCTCCTGGAGGCAGGCAAACAGGCGTCCCTCCAGCTACTCACTCCTATCAGCGTCCCAAGCACATTGTCTTCGTGGAGGCCGACGATGCGCCCGAAAGCCCGCCCATTTCTGGAAACGTGGCGACAGTTCGGCTTGCTACAGGGGGCGAGCGCGCGCTCGGAGACGTTCCTCGCAAATCGGGCAGTCAGGAGTATGTTTCCGGAAGTGCGGCCGTCAGATGCAACAATCCGCAAAGAGAGCTCCAGACCGAACAGGGTTTCGTCTGCCACAGCGTGCCAGTCCCACTCCATCCTCAAAATAGGCAGACCGTCATCCCTGCTGCTCCGCATTCCTATCAGCGCCATCGGGGCAGCGTCGTTGTGGAGACAGAAGATGCGACTCGAAACTCGCCCCCTCCTGGAGACAGCGCCGCGGCGATGGGTGGGGGCGCTGCAGAGGGCGCGCCCGCGCTCGGAGACGTTCCTCACAATTCTGATAGTCAGGACTTTGTCTTTGAAAGTGCGGCCGTCAGCTGCAACAGTCCGCAAAGAGAACTCCAGACCGAACAGGGTGTCGTCAGCCGCAGCGCGCCGGTTCCCCATTCTCCTGGAGGCAGGCAGGCGGGCCCCCATAGTGCTCCTCACTCCTATCAGCGCCATCGGGGCAGTGTCGTTGTGGAGACAGAAGATGCGACCCGAAGCGCGCCCCCTCCTGGAGACAGTGCCGTGGCGACAAATCGGGGCGCTGCAGAGGGCGCGCCCGCGCTCGGAGGCGTTCCTCGCAATTCTGACAGTCAGAAACATGCATCCGAAAATGCGGCCTTCCGCTGCAAAGTCCCATGGGGGAGCTCGAAATTGATCAGGTGGTCGTTTGCCACAGCGCGTCGGTCCCCCCCTCCCGAAGACAGACGAACGGACGCCCATGGTGCTCCTCATTCCTATCGGTGTCCCTGGGGCAGCGTCGCGGAGGAATCCGAAAATGCGTTCGAATGCGCGCCCCCTCCTGGAGACAGCATCATGGCGATAGTTGGCAGCGCTGCAGAGGGCGCGCCCGAGATCGGAGACGTTCCTCGCAGAATAGACAGCCGGGAGCTTGTATCCGAAAGTGCGGCCTTCAGCTGCAACGGTCCTCTGGGAGAGCTTCAGACTGAACGTGTGGTTGTCTGCCGCGGCGTGCCGGCCCCTCCCCCTCCTCGTCGTGGGCGGATCGTCCGCCTTGCTGCTCCTCGCCCCTGTCGGCGTCATTGGGGCAGCGTTGGTGTGGGGGCGGCAGGTGCGACCCGAAGCGCGCCCCCACCTGGAAATATTGCCACGGGGACAATTGGGGGTTCTGCTGAGGGCGCGCCCGCGCTCGGAGAAGTTCCTCCAGAGGGCGCGCCCGCTCTCGGAGACGTTCCTCGCAGTTCGGACAGTCGCGAGTTTGTTTCCGAAAGTGCAGCCTTCAGCTGCAACAGTCCTCTGGGGGCGCCGCAGACCGAATGCGCGGTTGTCAGCCACCGCGCATCTACTTCTCCCCCCCTGGAGACCGGCAGGCGGACCCCCGTGGCACTCCTCGCTCCTATCGGCGCCCCTGGGGCAGGTTCGAGGAGGAACCCGGAAATGCCGTCGAAAGCGCGCTCCCTCGTGGAAACAGCATCGTGGCGATAACTGGGCGTGCTGCAGAGGGCGCGCCCGCGCTCGGAGACGTTCCTCCCGCTTCAGACACTCAGGAATTTGCATCTGAAAGTGCGGCCTTAAGCTGCAAAGGTCCTCTGGGAGAGCTCGAGACTGATCGGGCGGTCGTTTGCCGCGGCGCGTCGGTCCCTCCCCCTCCTGGAGACCGGCAGGCGGGCCCCCGTAGTGCCCCTCGCTCCTATCAGCGCCCCTGGGGGAGGTTCGTGGAGGAGGCCGGAAATGCGCTCGAAAGCGCGCGCCCCTCCTGGAGACCGTATCGCGGCGATGGTTGGGGGTGCCCGGGGCGCTGCAGAGGGCGCGCCCGCGCTCGGAGATGTTCCCGACACTTGTGACAGTCAGGACTTTGTTTCCGAATGTGCAGCCTTCAGCTGCAACGGTCCTCTGGTAGCGCAACAAACCGAGCGCGTGGTTGTCAGCCACGGCGTGTCGGCCCTCGCCCTTCCTGGAGACCGGCAGGCGGACCCCCGTAGTACTCCTCGCTCCTATCGGCGTCCCTGGCCCCGGGGCAGCTTCGCGGATGAGGCGGGGAATGCGCTCGGAAGCGCGCCTGGGGGCGGTATCGCGGCGATATTGGGGGGCGCTGCAGGGCGCGCGCCCGCGCTCGGAGACGTTCCTCACAACATGGAGGTTCAGGGGTTTGTTTCTGAAAGTGCAGCCGTTAGCTGCGACAGTCTTCTGGGGGAGCTTCAGACTGATCAGGTGGTCGTCAGTCGCAGCGTGTCGGTTCGCCGCCCTCCTGGACGCAGGCAGACTGGCGCTCCTGCAATTCCTCGCCCCTATCAGCGTCCGGGGGGCAGAGTCTTAGTGAAGGCCGAAAATGCGCCCCCTCCTGGAGACAGCGCCGTGGCGACAGCTCGGACTGCTGCGACGGGCGCGCCCGAGATCGGAGACCCTCCGCTCGACCCGGGGCGCTCGCGACAAGATGGCGCGCCCGACTCTTGGCTGTGCGCGCGGGCAACAGACGGGCGCGTCTTCGCGGTCGGCGCGTGCGCTCTGGCCGACGCCTCCGAAGCCCCCACCCCCATGGCTGGCGGGTATTATGGGGCCCACTACCTGGAAGATCTGGGGCTGTCGTTGCACCCGGTCGACGGCGAGGCCCTGCGGCGCCCAGCTGTGACTCCGCCCGCAGTCGCCCATGGTGCGTTCGAACGCCCCCCGCCGGGGGGCCGCGGGCCAGCCCTGTAGAGGCAGGGCGTCGAAGCCATCCGCCAGCTCGTCGAGAGAAGTCCCTTCGCGCCCATTCGCCCTCCTTCCCTTGTCAGTGAGCCCACCCGAGTGGATGGCGAACCTCGCCCTCGCCCTCCAGAAGCCCGGGCCGCGCCAGAGAAGGGGACTTATGATCTGGCGACAACGGTGTCTGCGAACGCGCGTGCACCTGGTGCGACCGACGGTGCTCCCACATCTGGCGATGGCGCGGCGGCAGATGGGGGCGCGCCCGTGAGCGAGGGCGGGCGCGGG